CAGATAGTCATTGTCTTTAAATAATTTTACGAAAGAAGGCTTAATTTTAAGCTTCTTAAAGTATCATCTGTTAGTATTGTATAGATTATTCGCTTGGAAAAAAATGTTCTCAAAGTGATCGTAACTTGTTTCTTCACATCTTTAGCGTTTTAGCTGTTGTCTGAACTGCTGTTGCATTACATTTATTTATTTTTGATTATATCTTTATCGTTATCTTTATATTTATCTTTATGTTTCTTTGATTTGTTATCAGTATATCACTGCAAAGATATTCTGATTGTCTTTTTACTTCCAATCAAACAACAAAAAAATTAATTGTGAGCATGTTGGGGCATTGAATTATCTTGTATATTACATGTGCAAGAGTGCGAGGATGAGCAATAAATTGCTAGTTGTTGTTCAATTAACTGCCACTGGTAGCACAAAACAAGAGTTACTTGTACATTTAGCATCGCTGAAGCAGCAGGGTCCATTATTTGTATGTGAATTACTTAGCAGAATTTAATTATCAACGATTTAACACGATTCACTATTGTTTCATTGTTCAAAATTCATCTAACATATTGTCAGCAAGAAGCTAGACTATAAGCTAAAACCTGCTCAGAAGCAGGCTTATTTCTTATAAACAGGATTAGATAGTTGTATTTCAATCAAAGTCTAAACTAAAAGTTTGACCAACTGATTATATTATCTTATAAGAGTACAATGTTGTTAAATGATCTATTGTCTAAATTAAAAACAAAAACAAAAATAAAATTCAAACCCTTATGTAATCAACACTCCATAAATAAAGGCACATAAACTGTCAAAGGGTTTTACCTTTTCAGGTGGTACAAATACAACAGTTTTGTACTTTTTATGGATTTATATGTCATTTTATATGTAATATGTAAGAATAATATGTACTGTTAAGATATCATTATGGACCTTTTATATACAAACTGGCAAACTAACTACTAACTTTATTGCAGTTTAGTATGACTTTAGTGCATACACAAGTGTTTATGATTCTAGACATGGCCAATATTCATTGACAGTTTTTTTGTGTGTGATGTGAAGGAATAATTGGAAAGTTATCATCATTTAACAATCTGTTTAATACTATGAATTTTATGTCAAGTTCCTTCTCATGACTGATAATTAAATATTAATCATATTATGTCATTGCTATGTGTTACCACCAGCCAATCGCTGCCCTGATAATCATGATTTAGAGAATCTAAAGATGATTATTGTTCACAACACAAGTGCAAGCACACAAAGTGATTTCAGTTCAAAATCAAGTTCCTTCATCAAAAATCAGAACATGTTAGTTTGTAGCACAAATGGTTTTACCATTTACTGCACTTTATTTTTCAGTTAATTACTAGATATCAGATATGGGACTTTCACACGTTTACAGGAAGCAGCTTCCTTTTGCATTGATGAATGCAGCAGATACAATGCTGCCATTGGCGAAAATCCATCTATCTATTCTCCAAACCACTCACAGGAAAGGTAAAAAAAAAAAAAGGTACAGAATTTGTCCCTAATTTGTCCTATTTTGACTGCTATGCCAACATAAATAGTGAAAATAACCCATCAAAAAAGTCTTTAAGACCAAGCAGAACCCTCTGTTGTCTGTTGCTTCGGCGTGACTTTAACTAATCAGTTTTGGCCAATGCAAACAAATATTAAAATTTTTACAATCTGATAATGTACGATATTGTTTTTAATAGGGAAACATTTTACAAGTAACTTTTATTAATCTTGGACCTTATTCTAGAAAAAAAGACCAGTAAAAAGGCATAAAGCACCAAAAACGGGCCACATTAAATTCATTTTAATACTATTTTGGTTATTGTTGTTATCCATGAATTTACAAATGTACTTTCTTTTTTTTACTAAAGTAGCTGAAAAATTTGTGGAGATCTACATTATTCTTTTATTATTATTATTATTATTATTATTATTATTATTATTATTATTATTATTGAAATGGCCAAATTCTGACTGAGGAAAGTTGAATGTGCTGGCCAGTTTGTTATTTTCCTACTATAAATGACAATCAACTACAGTTTTTAATTAAAAAAAAAACAGATTCTAATTTTTTTTCTAATGATAAATAATGTAAAACATTTATATTTTAAAATCATATATATTTTTCATATTTTTTATTATAAATCTTCAGAAAATATTTTTGGTACATCAAAAAGTGTGGTTATGATGACCATCCAACAAGCTAATTCACCAACAAGTGTGACAACAAAACTGCCACGAAATGCAGTATTTAAGTCTCATAATTAAATAGAAAATGAGGTGTATGACTGCAAAGAGGTCCACTTTTGAAAAAGAAAAGAACCACCCCTTTCACTAGGCTGGCTATGGGCCTGTATACTTTTTTACTTGGTTATAAGAGTACAAAAATAACTAAAATACACATAAAAGGGTTCTTTACATTCATGGTTCCATGAAGAAACATTACCATCCATGAAAACTGTCTTTATAAAAAGGTTCCTTAATAAATTAAAATATTTTCCATATTAGAACTTCTTGTTCTATGAATGGATCTGAAAAACCTTTTTGAACCTTTTGTTTCAGAAGTGTAATAATGTTTTATTAACATTCCTGTTAAGTTTTGGAAAGTTTACATTACGAACACCATAAAAATTTAGGAAATATTTTAGCAAACATTCTATAAACATTACAGGAAGCATCTGTTGAGTAGATACTTTTATCTTCAGTTGTGTGTATGAATTAATTCAGATGAAGCAGATCAATTCAGAGACTTAATTTCTGTCAGACACTTCTGATATCTTTCAAAATCAATAGTCTTTCATATCACTATTAAAAAAATCTAGGTTATTTCATTCCAAATTTGGATAAAATAGAGACAAACCCAATCTCTAGGCCACAGTTTTTAAAATGCATTTTTAACTAGCTTTAACCCAACAGTTGAGAGTTTGTCTATTTTTGGGTTGAAGTAACCCAGATTTTTTTTATTTTGAGTTGTATAATACTAAATATGTTCTAAAATTTAGAGAGCTCTCAAGCTGAATGTAAACTTGATTATAACATCCAAAACAAACAAAAGAAGCTTCAGGATGTGTCAGTGCTTTTTGGATATACACTGAAAAAAATGTTCGATTGGATTTACAAACCTATATTAAACAGATTAAGTTGAACTTTAAGTTCAGCCAACATGTAAATTCCATTAACCATTTTTTTAGTGTAGGATTTAAGCATGCAAAATTACATTCACTGGCACTCGAAAAAGTGATAGAAAAGTTCAAAAGCCTTTCACATGGCTAGTTTTAATACAATAGTCATGTAAATAAAGGCTTTTTAACTTCTACTAAAGTTGATTATGTCAGTGAATAGGCTTGGTCTGAGTTTGTGGTTGTAGTCAGGGTTCATGAAGCTAAATTAACACACCTAATACACCCAATACGTCCATGTGCTCTCATGTGTCATTGTAAGTATACCATTACTCTATTCATAACACATAACACAACACTGACTGTGGCATCTGAAAAGCTGAAAGTTCACACAACAACAACATGCACAAATATTAACCAGTTCTTCCATTAACTTCCTCCATATATTAAAAGTTTAAAGAGGGCGGAAACATCTGATGAAGTCCCATTTTTAGCCCAGGGAGTGGCACCATGCAGCAGAGCGGGAAGAAAGCGAGACAAATGGCACAGAATAAAGACGAAGAGAGACAGAAGGAAGTCTGCCACTCCTCTGATTGCAGGGAATGAAGTTTTCCAAAGTCTCAAACTTGCTGAGCGTTTTAATGGGATGTTTAGAGGGCTGTAAGCGACCCTGAGCAGTGAGTCAGAGGCGCTGCAGTTTAAAAATAACTTTCATGCCCCTCCGACCCACCTCGTGAAGGGGTGAAAGCTTGATACCCCGCCAAAGATGGTTACAAGCAGAGGGGGGTGAAGGGAAGCACGTACAAAATAAGCGCATGCAGGGCGTCTCTCTTCTGTCTCTCTTAGGCCTTTTATCCAGCCTGTGGACTAAATGTTAAATGCTTCCCTTAAATACAGAGTGGCCTCTATTAATACCCACTGGTAACCCTGCCTAGATTGAGAGAAACAGGGAGAAATGGAGAAATAGGCAGACGCTGAGTAACTCAAGGCTGCATGGTATATGATGGTGTAACAGTCATTGCATTACATCATTTTCCCAGCACATGGTCCAAAGGAGAGAAACACTGTATCAGCACATGCCTGGATGTCTAAATAATGTTTATGACAAAGTGAAGACACTGAAACATTAAGTAAATTTCCATAAAATATATATATATTGTTAAAATAAACATAATATTGTAACTTAAAATAAAATGCATTTAAATAGCTTTATATAGCTATAAATGCATTTATAGCTTGAATTTTTTTATATTTTTGTTAATTTTTTCTTTCCATTTAAAAAATGTTAAAATTTTTAAACAAAGGTATTTCTAATTTTCATTTAGTTTAACTTACATTGCTAAAATAAACGAAACCAGCAGACTAAAAATTAATACAAATATCAAAATGCTTAACAAAATCACTAAAATTAAAAGTTTTTCATTATTTTTCCTTCAGCTTAGTTCCTTTTTTCCACAGTGAAATGAATATAAAGTATTTAATGCATCTAATTAATACAAATACATGTTATTAATACATTTAAAAAACATCATACAACACATTATATTTAAAAATTATGAGTGAATTGAATGTATTTATAGTGAAAGTTTGTGATAAACATACTCCACTGTTATGTTTTATTGACAACTTTAAAATTTAATAAACAAATTTTATAAAAAAAAATAATACAAATATTCTTTCATTTTTATACTCAAATGTGACGCCAAAATCAGAGAGAACAAATATTATTTTTAGTAGGGATGTACTTACTATAATCAGACTGAACAGAACTGTAATGAACAATATGGTCACTAAAGGGCAGAAGTTGATGATGGACAGAGTGTGAGAAAGAGAGCATGTGTGTGTGTGTGTGTGTTGACTTACTTGCTTGGGTAAAGGTACAGAAAGGCCCTGTCAGGGTGAGCAGCAGCAGCAGTGTGATTTTCATCATGGTCTCTGTTGGTCACTATTCTCCAAGTCAAACTTCAGCAATCTCACAGGCTCCTAAAGCAGTCAGCAGAGGCTGTGGATGAAACGCTCTGATGTGTGGCTCAAGGTTGGTTTGAATGGAAAGGGGCGGTGAGGTCTGAACAGAGTCTTCACTGGGCGAGGGGGTTGGGCACTGCTGTTAGGTGGTCCTGCCCATATTGAAGTCTCTGTCTGTCTGTCCTGCTCTTTCTTTGGGACTTTCTCAACTGTTTTTTTTTAATGGACTATATTAGACACCTATAGCTTAAAAATTATACAGTATGTGACTTAAAGAGTCACCCCAAAACTAAAGCCTTAAAACAAATGGTATGTTAACTGGATTTTTTTTTAAATATTAAAAATAAAATTGTTAAAAGTTTTGTTTGTTCTTTGAGACCAATTTGAGACTTTTATTTATACTCAAAATACAAACAAAATCATAATTTAATGAAATCCAAGAGAATTCTGTTCATGAAAAAGTCTGTTCACCTAAGTCTGACCTTTCAAAATTCATAAAAAGTTCAACTAATAAATCTATATGAATTGTTTGTAGGGCTATGTGATCCTAAATAAAACCTTTTCATCAAATAAAGCAATAATAGCCTACATTGTATCCCCTCAGAAGACTTCAGAAATCTTTTTACATGTTTTTTACGTGTGTGTGTGTGAGTGCATGTATGTATGTATGTATGTATGTATGAATGTTTGTATGTATGTATGTATGTATATATATATATATATATATATATATATATATATATATATATTATTTTTTTATTTATTTATTTTTTTTGCTCTGATAATAAACACCCTGGATTTAAAATAACATAAATGAATTAAATGTAAGAGTGAACTATATCTATCACTTAAGCAGCACAACGTATCTGTCTTTCATAGGCATGTTATGTAAAGTAATTGTGTGAAATTAAATATGTCATCTCCCTGACTAAAGCCAGTTAAATTACAGAAGTTGTTATGGACAGGTCACTTATTTTATGCCTAAAATTAAAGGATGTCTAACTCTATTGCCACGAGTCCCAAGCTAAAACCTCCAACAGTTCTGTTTATGACTTTGAGGAAATGACAGAGAATTATTTTCAGCCGTTAAAAGTTTCAAATTCTTGCAAGAAGATTTGTTGATGTGAATGCCGCCATTTTATGCTGACCTCTAGTGGCGGGTGTATGAAATTACAAGAGCACAATGGACCTTCTGTTTGACAGCAGCCAAATCAACGAGACCACACCGAAAATGAACATTTCGAGTAGCAATGAATTTTAATGCCAACACATTTGTTACATTTACTTATCTATATGTCTTAATTGGCACAATTAAACAACCATTTTATACACTGTTAAATAGTGCTATATATATATATATATATATATATATATATATATATATATATATATAGAAAGTTTTGTTTTCTTTGTTATGCTTTTATTCATTTAACTAATTTAACAGGGTCCTCAGTGTGGTTTTAATTATTCATTTATTTATATTTTTGTTAGACTACTAAGCCTCTTTCTTGACAGACAGGGCAGGAAGTAACATCATTTAGCCAGGAAATGACTCCATAGGCATCAGTAAATTTTAACAAGCTTTAAGCGGATTGTCACATGAGCAGACAGGAACACTGATGTTTTTGTATCCGTCAGTCAAAGAAAATGTTAAATGGACTAAAAATGTTCACTGAAAATGAAAATGGGTTTGTTAAATCTCAGTATGTCATCATGAATCATGAGGCGCTTCTGCAGGAAACCTATAGTCTTTCCTCACCCCACAGCTCAAACCCACTCCACCACGCCTGAAATCTAGAATGTTTAATCTTTTTACGATTAAAATGGTACCACTTTATAGTAAGTGGCCTTATTTTATATGTATTTACATTTAAATTATTCATATTGTATACCATGATAAAAAAACACAAATAGACATTTTAAGAACATTGTATCAAATGAATCATTTAAATTCTAATGCAGATTTTTAAAACCATAAGTATACTTTTTAATACTATGTTTTTAGAAAATCTGCATTTTTATTAATTTCTGGTTTAAGGTTTAATTGTAACAATTTAAACCACACTTAACCCTACCCAAACCACCAAATAATACTGGTATCCCACCTCAATAGCACCATAATGTGTTGTGCAATACTTTTAGTTACATATTTTTTAAATAAGTACCTATAGTTGGTAAATGGGCTCTTAAAGGGCACCTAGGTTACCCATTTTTTTTAGATTTATTATGAATCATTTGTCTCCAGAATGTGCCTGTAAAGTTTCAGCTCAAAACAATAAAAAAAAAATTTTATTATACCTTTTATAAGATTCTGTTTTATACATTTTTACACTGGAGTGGTGGTTTTGCTGTTCTGCGCCTTTAAGGCTAGTCCTCCCCACCCACTGTAAATCTCCTCCCTCTGCTGCATCAGACAACAAACAGACATAAAGGAAGCAGATCTCATGTAGCGTTTGTGAGAAGTACTAGAACTTTACCCATGATTTGCATGATTTGATGCATTTGCTGTAAGTTACAATGTCAATGTTGTTACGAAGTTCACATGCACACACAGACACAGATACCCAGCACGGACACGATACACACATACATACAGCAGCGTGTTTAGCTTCGCACTCTTTTTGCACGTGACAGGATACAGGCTAATCTCCACTGCTGTATGAGTATCTGTTATGATAATGTACAAAATAAACCTGATTTAACATCCACAAAGCGGGATTGAAGCGTCTTCCTTTATAATTGTTCTGACACGTGGCTTTGCTGATGAAGTAATTCTGAAATAAATTGCTGTACTTCATTACACACGTGCACTGTTTTAAAACATTTCAAACTTGTAAACTCATTCTTGATCACATTTAATGACGATTGATGATCCTAGTGAACTGAACAGACCTTTTATTCCCAGTTGCTTTGCGCGCGTCTGGTCTTGTTGACATGATTATACACGTGACTACCGGGACATGCTACACAAAGTTATGTCAATTGAGTTTAAATGTATGTGGTACCATCACAGAGGCCATAAGTCACTTTTTAAAATGGACTGCTGATTCATTAGTAGGCTATTATTCAAACAACAACTAAAAACCCATCTCTTCCACGATCACCAGTAAAGTTTAGATAGGATGCATCTGCAGATATGCACATCAATATACCATCATTTTTGTGACACTGTGTAACAATAATTCATATTTTTACAGTACTGTGACGGTTGGGTTTAAGGTTGGTGATGGGGTAGACATTAATAAAATACAATTTATTGAGTAATTTAATAAATAACATACATAATACTCGGTACAACTACTGTTTTTACATTAAGGCATTGGTTTAGGGTTGGGGTAGGGTAGACGTTAACAAAATACAATGATTTTTATAAATTTAATAAATAATTCTCATTAACTTCTGGCTGCAACCGTATCTTATCTAGCAACAACCACGATCATCTGAACCCACAAAACCAAGACCCCATTTCTATGACAACCTAAAACAATTCTGAGTGTGTCTCACACGGGTGAGTGAGCTTGACAAACCACCTGTAGAAAGCATACTCTTTTATCTCTGACACTTTAACTGACACTTGCACCAGTTTTGCACTATAGCACCAGACATTTTCTCACAATCACTCCATATCTCAAAAAAAAAAAAAAAGCATAAAGCTTCACACATGTAAGTGGGCTTAACAAACCACCTCTATATACACTGTTCTCTCTATATAAAACACTCCACCCTCCTTACTCTAGCATTTAATTCTATGAGCACTAGCAACTCCTTTTGTATAACTATCACTTTTTGTTTGTATTGCCTCTTGTTGAAGCACTGAATGTCTCCTCAATTCTGAGTCGCTTTGGACATAGGTGTCTGCTAAGTGAATAAAAGTAAATATAACTGGTTCACCACTGACCTGTGATAGTATGCCACTCTAAAGAACTAAAGAACCAGCGACCTTCTTGCTGTGAGGCCACAGCACTACCTACTGCGCCACTGCTTCACCCCATCCGAAACTTATGTAATAATTTTTTTATTCGATTCATCAATTGAAGTCTACGTTAACATTGACCTTGCAGAATCTGGAACATTATTACAGGGTTATTCTAACTTATTTAGTTTCCTGTGAAATTTGTAAGCTTTTCTTGCTTCTAAATGAAAACAAAAAGTATGAAATTTAGTCAGAATATTGTTATGCAAAATCTGTTCAAAAGTTTTCAACACTGGTTCTTACTGAGAGTTTGAACCTTCTGTAATAGTTTGTGTTTGAGTCCCTCAGTTGTACTCAGTATGAAACGATAAATTACAAAATTGCACAGTCATTCTTGGAAAGAGTTGAAAATGTTGAAATATAAATAATGTATAGGACCTGAAGGATTTTTTGAAGAAAGAGAACAGCAGGCCATTTAAATGTTCAGAGCAAACAAGGGACTCATGAACAAAAAATCAACCTTGTTAAAATAATGAACATTTTGCAGATATGTAAAACTACTGAAGTTCAACTATACACGTGAGCTGATTATTTGTAAAACTGACTGGGATCTTTCTTTTTTGGGCTGGATATTAATGTAAGCACCAATATAGAAAACAAATTATGTCTAAAATAAAGATGAAATGAACTGCATCTCTTCATTAAAGTAACCTTTTGCACCAAAATAATTAAAATTATGTCACAGTTTAATTGCCCTCAACTTGTTATAAACCTATTTTAATTTATTTATTTAAAGAAGTAATTTTAAAGAATGTCAGAAACTAGAGCCATTGACTTGCATATCGTGTTTTTTCCCCTATGGATTCCAATAATTACTGGTTTGCAACATTCTTCACGATATCTTTTTTGTGTTCAGCTGGAAAAAAAGATTAGTCATAAAGCTTTAGAACCACACAAGGGTAAGTAAATGGTTAGTCTGTTTTCATTTTTGTGTGAACGATCCCTTTAAGCCTTTACAGCATCATTTATCAGCATTTACAAGAACAATAAAAAGAGACATCAGCCTACAGGCATCAGATTTCTCTCCAGTAAGAGAAAAGGAAATATCAGTTTAGTCCAGAATAAAGACAGTAGGGTTATTTGAAGGAAATGCTCTTATTGACATAAACACACACACATACCTTTCC